TACAGGGGCACGGGGTCCAGGCCGTGAGAGCCAATTAAGCCAATGAGGTACTCCGAGTAATGAGTCCTAGGGGTGAACAGAGTCGAGAGAACTTTAGGCAGTTATAGGGACCTTATGGGGACACAGAGGGAGACATAAGTGGCAGCTAAGTGACCCACAGGGACCTATAGGGACACACAGAGACACCCAAGTCTCTACTGACTCCAAGGGGTAGACCTGACGTCTCACCTGTCCCATTGACTTCAATGGGTAATCCCCTCCCAGTCCCTCCCAGTGCTCCCAGTCTTACCGGCACAGCCCAGCCTGCCCAGGCTCCGTGTCCTTGCCGCAGGGTTGATCCTGCAGAGTTGCTCCAACCTCTTTCTGCTCCCGAACACCTCTGCCTGGAGCGACATCGGTGGGTCAGCTCATCTGAGACGTATTTGGAGGCAACTGGGAGCAACTGGACTCACCTGAAGGGTTTGGAGGAGCCTCAGGAGGAGGTTCAGTGTCGAAGGGAATGTTGGAGGCCTAAGAGGGGAGAGAAAAAGCCTCCTGAGACCCACCCAGTGCCCCCCCGTATGGCCCAGTCCTCCCTGACCTCCCACCTGTCCCACTGACTCCCAGTCACCTCCCAGTCCTCCTCAGTGACATCCCAGTCCCTCCAAATCCCCTCCCAGTCTCTCCCAGTGCTCCCGGTTCATACCTTGAGCAGCTCCTGCAGCCTCGAGGGTTCCCAGTCTCTCAGGTAGAACAGACAGTTCCGGGGGTGATGTCCATGCAGAGATGCCTTGAGGGGGCACTCGGGGGATGGGCAGGTCTGGGGGAGAAGCACAGGTGAGTCAGGGACCCCCCAAAACCCCTCACCTGTCCCACTGACCTCCCATTGACCTCTACGGGTAGACCTGATCTCCCACGGATCCCCATTGACTCCGGTGGGTACATCTGGTCTCCCAGATCTTGGGGTCCCCCCTGGACACCCCCAAACCTTCTCCCAGTATAGCCCAGTCTCACCCCTGGTGGGTGGAACTCCTCCCCACACCCAGCACAGAACTGGTGTTGGCACTGGGAGCACTGGAAATGCAAACAGCCCCCACGGGCCAGCGCGAACCAAACTCCACAGCGAGGGCACTCTGAGGCGGGGAAAGACCAGTTAGTGCCTGCCAGTATAGACCAGTATAGCCCAGTGCCCTCCGCATGCTTCACAGATCCCCTCCCAGTACATCCCGGCGCCCCAGACCCAACAGTGAGGACACTCTGGGGGGACAGAGAGCCATTAGTGCCTCCCAGTATGGCCCAGTAACGCAGAGATCCCCTCCTTGTGCCTCCCAGTGCCCTCCCATAGTGACCCCCAAGCACCACGCGAGTCCCTCCCAGTGCCCCCCAGTATATCCCACTACAGACCGATGCCCTCCCAGCTCCTCCCAGTGCCTTCCCAGCACATTCCAGTGCCCCATAGTGATGCCCAAGTGCCCTCCAGTGCCTCCCAGTACATCCCAGTGCCCCAGAGCTAGTATATCCCAGTTCCTCCCAGTACAGCCCAATACATCCCAGAGCCCCACAGACATCCCGTAACTGCCCCTCAGTACATACCAGTTCTCCCAATGGCCTCCCAGTTTCCCCCAAGTGCCTTCCAGTATGTCCCGATACCCTACCAGTATGTCCCAGTCCCTCCCATTCTCCTCCCAATCCCCTCCCAGTGCCCCTAAACCCCCTTCTAATGCCGTTTAGGGCCCTCTCAGTCTGTGCTGGTCCCCTCCCAGTTACCTATGCCGTGCTCCCTGAGGAAGCCCTCGAGGCTCCCAGTTTGGGGGTCACTGGAGCTGAGCCACAGCCC